AAGTGATTTTCACTTTTCATAATACAAACATATTATCTAATGAATTTTCGGTTTGGTTTTGAGTTCAGTTTCGATACACCCATATGATAGTTACGAACATGTAAATTTTCTCATATTTTCTCCTAGAAAACTGCACGACGATATCCCTAAAACCTTAAGGGGAATATTATAAGGCGAGTAATTCAAATTCCACGTAGGAAATACATAAAATAGATTAAGGAGGGTGGACTACGCAGTGGGGAAATGTGCAAACGAGACAGAGGATGAGCAACTGACAACTATTGCAACAAGCAATTAAAATCTTCCCCCGCATCTCAGGCGAATCGCTTTCGCGCGAGTGCTGCTGCAAACCGTATTCCATCGTCGCGACTGCTAGGCCGGCATCAGAGAAGCGGAGAAACGTCTCGTTTTATAGTGAGAAGCTCTCATGAACACCGGCGAGAAAAGGCTGTTAACTTCCGAGAGAGTACTTTACCGGAGGAAACCTAATGAGAACTGCGTTCCCTCATCACAAGACTGCTAATAAATGTCTGTAATTATTGGATCATTAGCCTTTGAAATAAAGCTCCTATTTAAAACTTCACGGTTTGATGAAAACAAGCAAATAACGAAGGAACATAGTGATGAATACATCAAAAGGTTTCCGCCCTTATCTCCCCCCTTTTATCACGAAATCTTCGTCTCATTTTTTTGTCTCCCTGCCACTTTTCTCTCTAAATATATTCGCGATGAAGAGAAATGGGGAATAAGACTCAATGACCTGTGCATTTATGGCAAAGAATTAAATAAAATATATTAATAAATTCATACTTCATTTTTTCTTCCTTTTTACCACAGAATCCCATCGTATATTCTTCCTACAAACTGAGTGGATACGCGAATGTCAAGTTCGCTAACGTGCAATCATTCTGAAGGGAATATAAATAAAATAAAAATCTCGAAGAAGTATAAAATTTAGTCTTTATGAGAGTACAATATCTCATCTGATTTTATTATTCAAGTATTTTCAGTCTCGAAGTCAGAGCCAATAATGAGATAACGCAGGAGTGTCCTTACAAATGTCCATTACACCAACAAAATATTAGGAATGGAAAGTAAATGCTATAATTGGTGTTTTCATGGAATTGTTTATTAATTGTCGCATTAACTGGCAATCTTTATCTAATTGTCTGTTTTTTATATTTCAGAAGCAAACTAACAGCAGTTCAAGACGACACAGTTGGCTGGGAATCAGAATTAAATTAATATACTCTACTAAAAATTCAGTATTCGCTATTATGCTTCTCTTTGTCGCAAATATTTAAGAATAGTTGAGATGATATATTCAGAAAGTTAACAAATTCAAATAAAAAACAAACTTTTTTATGTTCATTTTACGCAATCAATTCTGCATTCCCAAGTAGTTAAGAATTGCAAAACGTTAACGAATTTACATTCCTGATATCAAAATCCATTTCTTTTTAGTAATTACCATTTTCGTTAATGAACATATCAGTTTCAATGTAAAACTTTGATTCTAAAAACTACATTATTTGATAAAGCGGTTCAAAGTGACTCCACATCCTTAGTTCGGGTAGCTACACTAAGAGAGTCACTATGAGATTATCTCATACACGTACTGTACATCACTACTAAAAAAGAATCACTGGGAGTGACTTGAAAGAATATACCTATAAAGAACGAAAAATAAATTTTTCAAATCAATTTTTCAAATCAAAACATACTCTAGAGAAAAAAATTAAAAATGAACAAACGAACGTGAAAGAGAGACCAGGGTAATGACTGATCGTGATGACGGAGAAGTCCTGGATGAACTAATGCCATCGACACGACAGGCAGCTACCCTTTAATGCTTCCAACCGTACGAGGCTCCGTAAATAATTAGTTTGGGCTACGACTTAGGCTCTATAATCTTCTCATCAGATCCAACTAGCGTCACTGGTGATGATTGTATCATCGAAAGTCAACCTAATTTTTAAAATTGTGATTTACTTTTGGTTTCTTGGTCGTGTTTATTTCTGACGTTCTTTCAAGTGGTGATCCGACGCTATGAACGTTACAGAAATTCAATTCGGCAACAAAATTGGTGAATTAACATTTCCAAATGCTATTTAGATCAGTAAGGCTCTTCATAAAATCACTATGTCCGCTAAAAATTGATAATAATTGAGATTTGAAATACAGAAAAATCTACGAGTTTCATACGCGAAATTAAAATGTCCAATACAAACGATATTCTATCACTAACTGCGCTTCTTGTTCAGAACTAAAATAAAAATTTGTTTAAGCGATGTAACAACGAGGTTCTCCTTCTCACAGTTATATCACGATCCAATCAGGTATATGATTTACTTTTCACAGGATGTAAACATGTTTCTATAAAATCCCTGTATATTTCCTCTCGTATGGCAACAATATTACAAAATTCGTCAAGTTTTCTGACTAGCTGCTTCTTTAAATTAAGCTCCTAAGCAAGGCAAGTCTGCCTGACGAAGCCCGAGACAAAGGCGTGGGGTATCAATGATAAGAGAGGACAAACACTATGGGGAACGACGACGTAAACAAGGCCGCCGACAAAGGCAGTACAAAAGGCTGGAAACGAGAGAAAGCGACAATTGGCGCAGCTGAGGTAAAAAGGGTTGACCAGGGCAGGTTGAAAGGGATGGCCAGGACACTAAAAAGAGAAAGACTAAGGAACATGTAAGAACGCTACATGGACGTTGATAAATCATCACCCCTCCATTCATATGTCCCTCCATTATTAACGGTCGTGAGGTCCCTAAGTCTCTCCGCGATCTTGGCCAAGTGCTACCTTCGATCAACGAAGGCCTTTCTCCAATGCAGCCGACTCGCTCAGCGCCTCCTAACCCCGGACTTATCGACTTCTTTCCTGGCGGCCTAGGCGGCCACCTTCAACTGATCAACCTTCAATTGCTTCTTCTCCACCGCTGTGTCAGCCTCCTCTTTCGTCGCCCCAGTTTATTCTTTGCTCACCCTTCCTTCTGAGCGGTAGACTCCAAAAGCGCCTCGGGCGGCAGGCTCTAGCTGGGCCACTGGGAGCCGGGAGCCGCGGCGCGACGCGGAAGCAGGGGGAGGGGGGGCGAGCTGCAGTCAGCGTCAAGAAGCGCCCGCGGCAGGGCGGAGGCGGAGACGGAGGCGAAGGCGAAGGAGTCGGTGGAGGTGGTGGTGGCAATGGCGGTGGCGGAAGCGGGGCCAGAGGCGGGGCCGGAGGCAGCGGAAGGAACGGAGGTGGAGACGGTGGCAGGGCCGGAGGTGGGGCGGAGGCGGGAACGGAGGAGCAACGGCTGGAGAGCGCCAGCAGCGCTGACGCTGCAACGTCGCTGGTCGGCCAAGCCGGCGGCGCTGGCGGCGGAGGGCAGCCCTATGGCGCACGGGAGGCGCGATCGCCGTCTCCTTGTGTCTGGCAGCAAGACCCCGCGGACTACGGCAGTTTGTTACCATTAGCGACACATTTCAAAGGGCTCTCACAAGTGGCTGAGACTTGTTTTCGGACACATGAACTACTATAATCATTAGTACTATAAGAGTAATACATATTACACCCGGGGAGATGGCGATATCTCCCGCAATTGAACGATCCGACGACGACCTACAAGACGGCTTGGGTTTATTCGGCCCCTCCCCCCACCAGAAACATTGCCCTAAACGGGATAAGCTTTCAACTCCCGACTGACCCTTCGATATATGAGGTAGTGCAGTGCGCAAAAGTATGTGTGTGTGTGTGTTTGTGACGGAGAGAGAGTAAAGAACAAGCACAAAGAAAGAAAGAACGATCGCACGCGGTCGGTGGCTCATTTCTTAAGGGATTGCTCCGATATTCGCCTGATATTGTTCGGAGAAACCACGGAAAACTACCCACCAGAGAAATCGGCCGCTTAAATTATCATTTGTCACAGTGGTTAAATGCGTTCCAGCTATGTAGCTAGTGTCGAAAATCCGATGTTGTCTGGCCTACAATCCCGGGGCCTCCCATTCAATGACGCTGCAAAGGCAACGCGCGTGCTCACAACGTCGTATCACGATTGTTGCACAGCGGTTTCGCTTCCTTGAAGTATTAATGAATTCGTTTTTTAGTGTAGCGCACAAAATTACAGGGGCAAGTACCCGCAATCGAATTCAAACAGTATTGGTTACGAAGAAAAAACTCAGAATATTCTGACGTTTTCTTTCAAAATTCTTTTCTGATTAGCGATCATTATTTTACTACTACTTTTGAGAAGACACTGGGCAGTTGTTGCAACGTCATTTTTTGCAGATGCGTTTTCTAAAACAACTGAGTAGAGATTTTTAGCTGCGCCTTAATCACCTTTTTTCAGTAGAAACACTTTCGGAAACGGATGAAAATGAATAGAATCCTAACTTGCTCCATTTTTCAGACTGCTATTCTTGTTGACCTCGCTGAAAATTACGATCGTTAATTTTCTTGAGTTCAGATCAAAATTTAAACCAAATCTTTAAATTGCCAATGCTTCATCAAGCAATTTCATAATTATCAGATCAATTTTTGTAGTCATACTAACAATTTCCATCCTTTAACCAACTTGATACAAATAATAAAAAGATTATGATAAAAAGCCCTGACGAAGGCAGCACCAATGGCAATTTACAAAATAGGTTTAAATCGGATCAACAAGAATAAGAAATCTAATTATCAGATTTCTAATAGAAAAAAAAGCGAAAGTTAGTCTGAAGATTATCCAAATGAATCTGCAAAGATCGTTTAGAAGGGAATTTCATTTCGAATTTATTTCATTGGTAGCTTACGAGTTATGTTTGTTTCTACGGGAAATGTTTTTAACTACTAAAACAATCACTACACATTGTTCTTCGCGGACATTTCACATGGCTGCCTCTTACTCGTCAATTATTTTTTGTAAATTAGATCGAGGGACGTATACGAAATAAGTGCCACATATTGGCATCAACAAATATTGATCAAAATCACTTGTGTTTAATAACAAGTAATGAAACAAATTTACCTTTAAAAAAGTGCAGACTGTCACAGGGCCACAGTTTCCGTAGCGTCTATGGTTCAGCAGCACTTGAAGATTGTTCAAATGTCCATATTTGAATATGACTTCTTCAGATAATCCAATGTTCCTCCACTTCGTATTTTTAAGAGGCAATCTTATGGCTTTCCGTAACTGATTCTATTAAGAGCACGTCCGGTCTACAACCAAAAACACATCATAAGTACTGGTACAAAGATTCAGCTTTCAAATGCTACAAGAAAGCGACCAAGAATGAATCACAAATGCATAATTCAATATTGTCTGTGAAAAATACACATTGACAAAATACGTAAGTATTGAAGGCCGCTCTATATACTTTTGTGAACTTCACAGTAATTTTTCTACGATACATGAAGACTATCTCTGTATGCATATTTCGTCTCTTTAACATACAATATTGAGCAGGAAAAAGAGAATAACTGGACGTTTCAAAGCTAAAAATTGGATCAAAAGTATCCCAACTTGAAAAGCGCCTTGTGTATTAACTGTTCATTTTCTCCGAACTGCTACAAATTAACCCAAACTTTGTTTTGTGTACTTACTCTTAACAGTTAATAAATAGCAAAGTTAAAGTGGTGTTCAGAGTAACTGGGTAGAAGACAAACATTACGTTGTACTTTGCGACTAGATTTTAATCAATATCTTTGTATAATGTATGCAAAATCATCTTAGGTGTCACTGAACAATAATTTAAGAACGATCGTTCTTTCTCTATAAAATTTCATTAAAATATATTCTTAACAACTCGCACAATTTTGAAAAATCGATACCTTCAATAAGTATGAGACTAAAAAAATATTTTAATTTATGAAATTAGTGTTTATTTTCTCTTTACTTACTGAACCCTCACAACTGATCTGAATCGAACAATTCACAAATTGATCGTTCTCTTTGCACAACGTCTGTTATCACCAAGATTATAATAAACAATCATCATGCAATCATAACGAATTTGAGTAAAAACTTCTGCGAAGAACTAAACACATTACAATTAAAGAAAAATCAATATACATATCGCAGACGCTACTTCAACTTCCAAATCGGCGCTCGTTTTTTCAACCCTACCAACAGGCACACCCTCAAAAACGCGCGTCGATATCGCAACAACAAAAAAAAAAAAAAGCTTCGGCAGCCTGTTTCGCATTTCGACATTTCATTACACAAGCGCGTTTGGCGGCCGAAGATAGGCCCACCCGCCGTGGGAGGCAGGCACCGGCGCGGCGCGGCGCGGCGCGGCGCGGCGGCAGCTGGTCCAGCGCAGGGGCTAAATGGGACGCGGCGCCGCGCGGCCGCAAAAACGACGAGCCCTCTGAGCAGATGCACCGCAGCCCGCGCCGCGCCGCGCAGCGCCACAAGGGCCAAGGCGTCCGTCCCTGCCACGGCGCACGGAACCTGCCTGATTGATTGATTGCTTCCGCACACGTCAACTGCTTTGGTTATTAGTCCCCGTTAGAACAGTGAATGGTTTTATCGCGGGTGGGGGCGGTGCTCCTTCCCCGCTGGATGGTAAGATCCAGCGCCGACTTATAGTTTGGCTTGAGGATTTCCTCCTCTGCCCCAGCCGGGACAAGCTCTAAGCTCCCAACTGATCTCCCGATATGTACTCTAGTACACGTAAGTAAGGAGTAAGAATGACAAGGAATAGGAAGGAAATATCGCGCGCGGTCTGCGCCCCGTTTGTTAGGGTACTGCTCCCGCATTCGTCTGACGTTGATTGGAGAAACCATGGAAAACTACAGATCAGAGCAGCCGGAGTAGTTGGAAACGGCCGATTCTGGAACACCAAGATGGCGGCAATGACGTCACACATCTGGTGTTCCGGAATCGGCCGCCTGTTTGTCCCGGATGTGGTCATCCGATGTAAACAAAACATCCGGTGTCAACATCCGGTGTGTCGTCACACATCCGGTGTCAACAGCTGGCGTGTCGAATGCGCGCGATCTTTCCTTCCTATTCCTAATCTTACTCCTACTTACGTGTACTACAGTACATATCGGGAGATCAGTTGGGAGCTTAGAGCTTTTCCCGGCTGGGGCAGAGGAGGAAATCCTCAAGCCAAAATATAGGTCGACAGCTAGAATTCTCCTCCAGACTGTTGCTGAATTCAACCTAGCGTCTTCCCAAGGACCTCTCGCTCTCAGTCGCTGTGGAGATAGCGGGCAATCCTGGCTCGCAGGTAAACTCAGACGGTACGGAAACTGCGGCAGCAAACATAATGACTTGTCCACAATTTGAAAAAGAAGATAAGAAGCACTTGTATCTCCATGTCGACGTATCTACACGCCAAATGGGCAAGTATGTATTTGCACGTACTAGTAATATTTTAAACCACTGGAGTGATTACTCGAAAATTTGGCCCACCTATGTCTGAGCGGCCGAGAACCTACACAGCGGTGTTGCAAACCAAAATATTATTCCAAAACGTTTGTTTTTTTCGCAAAGTTATAAAAATTACTCTTAAATATATGAAGAATATATGAAATACGGTAGCTTAACTATTATTAAAATCAAATATGAAAAGAACCGACGGAAGAGAGTGGGAATGTCTATTCGTAACTAAAATTGAAGAGCAGTACGAATAAAGACCGTACAACAACAATAAAAACAAGAAGACGCATCAAGAAGTAATAATATAAAAATGCGATTCCAAAAGCAAAATTACAGGGTAGGTAGTGTCATCAAATAGACGAAATCGATATTGACACTTCTTAGTACATTGGATACTTGTCCTGCCACATATTAGTGGGAGTAAACGTGAAATAGATTACATAATAATTAATAAATGAATATTACTACAAATGACTCAGAAACAACTACAAATAACGAATATAATATATGCAATATCATACAGATAGCTGAGTAAATAGATAAATGGTACTTTAAACATAGATCGTATCATTAATTTCAGCATTGCATTTGATACATTTTGTAACGGATTTTGCCATTAATTACCTGGAAATAAGTTAGAAAACAAAGGATTGCACTATATTTAAGCAAATGTAAAAGCAGGGGCGGATGCAGAGAAAAAAAATTGTGAGAAAAAATTTAAAATAATTTGCTCATATTACAGATTTAGTAAATGTTACAGGCTACACTCAGCTTATGCTGAGTCAACGTCGATTTTATTCATTGTAGTGCTAATCCGACAATATTTTTTCTTGAAAGTTTCGTGACAAGTGAAAATTAATACTTAATTTCCCTCATCTCCTTTCCCAAGTATTCGCGTCTGGTAAAAGTGTATCATTCAATAGAGATTAGTAAAGTGGTAGTATATATCGGCTAATAAATGCATTAGTCCGCAAATAATTCGTATAAATGACGAAAAAATGACTCATAATAACTTAAAATATTCAAAGAAAACGTCAGTAAATCCTACTAGTTCTTAGTTTCACGGAGGAGCGATTTCCACTACCCATAATCTACCTCAGGAAATTTCTCTTACCAATTTTATATTATGTTAACCATTTAACTTGCTCGATGTATCTTGTCAATTGAAATAATTTCACAAAGTATATAATTCGTATTTCCTTCTCATAAAGTCTGCTGATATCAGGTTTTTCAACAGCGCAATACATTCGAAAAGTTGCCGTTCACCATCAGAGATTTTAATGTTTTCAATGACATATGCACATTCCCTATCGTAACTGAACATAAGCGACAATCACTAAAAATTAAAGCCGTGATAAAAGCAAATATTTCACCATTTGGAAATAAAATGTGCATTTAAATAAGACACTACCCATTAGGAAGGAAAATGTATTATGATCCAGGTGTCTCAAACATGTTACGCAAAACGCTGTACGTACAAACTAAATTAGCCAGTTTTTGAAGGGTCTTTAATGCAGTTCTTGAAGCTCTTAAAACATTAAAAAAATTAAGGAACAAGCCTTAAAAGGGAATAATAAGGAAGGTTTCTTATGGAATATTATTGTCACATTTCACGTGCAAAAGGGAGTATAGTCACACACTTCTCAATGCACGATAAGGATATACCCTCTAAGCATAATTACGAATATATGCTTCAGAATATAGGTACGATTTGTAGGACGCAGTGTAATAAAGTTTGCACATTATGTACTTCACATTTGAATACCATTATGAACGGAGCACTGTCTAACAAATACAATTCCATAAAGCTTAAGTTTCAATCCTTTTAAAGCAAAAAACCTATTAAGTGTTTTGCTTTCAAGATCAAAAACCCTTTCCAAACGGCACCAGCCCCGAGAGCGTCCATCAGCCCTTAAAGGTCCCCGACCGCCTTCGCGGAGCCTGCCCGTCCCCTGGCGGGCGGCGGGAGGCTTGCGGAAGCGGACATCCGTTCTCTCGATTGCCACTCGCAGGAGCAGCGCTGGTTGCACGGCGAGCGCTCTCAAGGAACACACTTCTCCTTCTGGGGAACGGACTCCCTCAACAGCTCTCTGCGGTTTTAATACGGAGGGTTCGATACGATTCATTCAACACTGAACACTCTGTAATAGTATTGAACATGAAAGAATCGGAAATGCCCGACATATTTATTTTACAATTGATAAAAAAAATAATACTAATGAACTGGTTAACACCATAATATTACGAAAGGAACTAGATATTCAGACCCGAGCTAGTTAATAACTATATGTTCATTGGGCCGGTAAACTTACTTGCTGATTACGACTGGTAATTGCCACTTCTACGGCTGGTGTACTGTGATATCAGCAAAGCATTACGTAGTGCAAAATGTAAATATCTATCATTTTCGAATGTGGGTCAATCATAACCAGTAATACGAAATTGAATTAAATTTGTCCGTAAACTGATTGACACGAGCTACAACAATGAACACGTATCAAACTGCAAACGCAGCAAACTGTTCATTACACACCCTTCACATTACATCAAAACAGGAATAACTGATGCGGTTTTCTATTTATTAGTATCGACCGTAGTTCTCTAACACATGTTTGAGTGGTTAAACCAGATACCACACGCTCGCAATGAGCTCTCAAATTGATTGGCTCAAAGGATTCATGTGCATAGTTTTCGAATACACACGTTTCAGAACACACGCGAACGTAACAATAAAATTATTACATAATTTCTACTTGAAAATCAAGAGTTTTTTCTGCCTATAAAGGCAATGAACACCTTGTATTCTATGTAATCGTGAAGACTCCTCATA